CCGCCCTCCGGGGGCTCCGCGGGCCCTTTCCTGCAGCCGCCCACGCCGTCCGCCGGGCCCTTCGGCTGCCCGCCACCTCCGCGCCCCTTTGCCCCTGCGCCCGCCCCGCCGCCCCCGTCCGGCCCCGGGCCGGGCCCTGGCTCGCCGTCGGGGGCCGCCGCTGAGCTGGGCTGGCTGTCGCTGGCCAGCCAGGAGGATCTGCTCAAGATAATGCGGCCGCCCTACTCGTACTCGGCGCTCATTGCCATGGCCATCCAGAACGCGCCCGAGCGCAAACTGACGCTCAGCCACATCTACCAGTTCGTGGCAGAAAGCTTTCCCTTCTACAAGCGCAGCAAGGCGGGCTGGCAGAATTCCATCCGCCACAACCTCTCCCTAAACGACTGCTTCAAAAAGGTGCCCCGCGACGAGGACGACCCCGGTGGGTAGCTGACACCTCACCGGCCCAACGAGGGCGGGGGCGGGGCTGGACGCCCGCGGGTGGGCTGGGGCTGGTGGGGGAAGGCAGAAGCTCGGGGAGCTCGGAGACCGGGGAAGCGAGGGCGCTTGGAGGGGAAGGGGGCGCACGAGAACCCCACTCAAGGCGAAACACGCGTGAGGGTGCTTTCAGGGAGCGGGTGAAGGGAGTTGGTGAGACGCGTCTGAGAGCTTCGGGACTGAGAACAAGTAGGCTCTAGGACGGGGCGAGAGGGGAGGCGCGAGGGAGCGAGGAGCACAGGTGCTTAGAGGAGAGCACCGGGATCTGGAGGGGCGCAGCACGGAGTGAGAGAATGCGTGGAGTGCGGGTGGGGGAGCTCAAACGCCGGACCGGAGGTGCATGTGTGGTGGAAGTCGAACCCGGGAAACCAGGGAGCTGGAGGGCTCTTGGAGCGGAATGGGCATGGCGCCAGGCACTGGTACTGGAGCGCCTTGCAGATGGGAAAGGGTGCTTACAGCGGGATGGAGTCGCACACGCAGGGACGGAAACTCAAACCCAACGGGCAGTTTGGGGAGGGCGAGAGGCGCAAGGGCCCTTGGAGGTGGTAAAGTACAGGAATAGGGGGTGCTTGAGCCCCCTAACTGCGAGATGGTCGGGGGCCATGAGATGTGGGTGCTGGGACTATGGGTCATAGACGCATGGAATTGAGCCTTCTTCCACTGTAGGCAAGAAGGATGAGGGACTAGGGGTTGGAGTGTGCTTCAAAGAAGGCTAGGCAGTTTATTGGCCTAACCATCTGTCAGACTCGGGTCTGAGCGGGGACGTTCGTATAGAAAGGAACCTGAAGAAACCAGTATATTAGGGTAAGGGACAAAGAGGGTTTTTGAGAAAGGGAAAAAGGAAAAGGGCTGTCTTAGGCTGAGAGGGGGAAGGAGAGCCGAAGCAGCCCGCTTCAACTCGGATATAGAAGGAAAAGGAGACACTGACCCACCCCCACTTCCCCCCCCCCCCCCCCAAAATTTTGAAAGACGGTAGAGTGAGAAAGCAACCTTTGTTTGAGTTCCAGGCGAGTGGGGAGGAAACAGCCCCTGCTAGCCAAGGGAGGAGAAAGGGGATCCTTGCATCCAGTAAAAAAAGGCTAAAAGAGGGGGCCCTAATGCTTTTCCATAAAGTGGGAGAGAAAAAGAAATGAGGCATCTTTTTTAATTAGGGAGAAAAGGAGGCAGCTCGTTGAGAAAAATGGGAATGTTGTACTGAGTTGGGAACAGAATGACTGGGTAGGGCAGCTTAGGTCAGATGTAGGGGACAGACTGTGGATCTAGGAGTGAAAAGCGGTAGAGGACAACACACATTAAAGGGAGAGGGCTTGGAAGGACGGCTAGTGCTGCCAGACAAGGATGAAGCAGATTCTAGGTAGGAGAAGAATCAACAACGTTGGCCAGTGATTTGTATGGGTGAATCCGAAGTAATAGCCCTTATTATTATTTTTTTTAAGGGATCTTGACCTGTTGAGAGGCAAATCATGTACTATGAAATGTTCAGGGGGGATAAACTTGATAGAAGAGTCTGTACATAAATTTGCCATTAGTCCTTATAGGTTATTACCCTTGAAAAGGAGTTCCATCACATCCTAACTGGGAAAGAGCACACCACACACCATGCAAGAGTTGCTTAAGTGGGAGGGGAGTTGGAAGAAAGAGTTGTAGTTCCAGGGCAAACGATTGTATCTTTCTGTGAGTTACTATCCCCCTAACATTTTGCTCAATAGTTTAAGTTTAGATCATAAATCTAACCCAGTCTTTCTTTGTCTCCCCCTCCCCATCTGCCCAAGTCCTACTTCCCTAATGTGTGCAGTTATATGAACACCCTATGTAGGTTCTTACCCAATGCCTGAGCCCCAAGAGGTTAGATGAGTTGAAGCAAGCTGAAGAAGAATCTTGGGATGTTCAGAGATAGGCTGCCACCAGACAATTTTGGAATGTTTTTTTTTAATTGAATGTAAAAGGTACTTCAGACAGTTACCTGAATGACTGAGCAAGTCGCTTAGTCCTGTTTGCCTCAGTTTCCTCATTTGTTAGAGAAAGCTGGATAAAGAAATGGCAAATCACTCCAGTATCTTTGCTAAGAAAACGGCAAAGGGGATAACTGAGAGTCAAACACTACTGAAAAACAACAAAAGGTACCTGGGTGATTTATCCTGTGGGACCTATTTACTGCCCATCTGACTAGATAAAGAACATTGGGATGAAATGGAAAACTCAAGCCTCCTGGGGAAGGTACTGGGAGGGGTTGGGTGGAGACAGGGAAAGGTGGTGCTTGAGCTGATAAGCTGAATCTTAAAGAAGCCAGGGGTTCTAAGAGATGAAGATGAAGAGGGCAGAGCATTCTAGGCTGGAGGGATATCACAGAGATGGATGGAATTTTGGGTGAGAGATAGCAGGTAAAGCACCGGGACTCAACCCAGAGATGCAGGACTTTGTTTAGATGCCCTGGAGTTTAAGAACAGCTGAAGACTTTAGGAGTCAGCTGGCAGATCCTTCTCTTTAGTATGTACCACATGAGATTTATCGCCTGAGATTATCAGGTAGACTCCTGTGGACTTTATCTCACAGTGACTTTATGGCCCAGAGTAATCCTGGTTATCCACCACTGTGCTGTAGTTATTTCTTGTTAAAACACCTCAGTACTTAAGGAATGGCTCCTAGATAAATATTAGGTAGCAAGTTTTGTTACAATTATTTTTGCATAACAAAAACAAAACCCTAAAATGCAGCATTAGGCATATTGGAGGTTTCAAAGAGAGTTAGAACGTAAAATCCTGTCTTTTTCAAAGCCTTTTATACCCTGAAAACTATATACCAGTACAATGCCACTAACCTAATTGATGCTCATTATTGTTTCCTTATGGTGGTGGTGGCTAGAGAAAATTGGGTGTAAGAGTTGTGCATTTTCTTCATCTTTAGGAGTGTAGATTTCCATCCCTTGCAATCTGGTATTTCATAATTTCATGTGCTCGGAATTTACGGGGAAGGAAATAGGGACTTTTAACAGCAAATACTGAAAAAGGTTGAGGGAAAAACCCTAAACGATAACCTTAACTTAGTTTAACCCTTGGAGTCAGAACCATCGATTTTCAACCACAGGCAAGTTACTTATAACCTGAACTTCAGTTTGCTCACCCATAAAATGCAGATAATAAAGACTTGTGTTACTCATTCCATGAAGTTATTATGTGGAAAAGGGAAACAATGTGTGACCCAGTAGAAAGAAGATTGATTTGTAGTTAGAGGATTTGGGTTCAAACCCTATTTCTGAGATGACACCAGCTATCGGGGTGGCCTTGAACAAATCACTTAGCATCTGTGGGTCTCAGTTTCTTCAGCTGTAAACAAACGGGTTGAATTAGGTGGCCTGAGTCCATTCCATCGCTAGTCCTCTGATATTAGATGAGAACCATTTGGTAACTCCAGATGTGATTAATGAAAGTGACATTACTAACCAACTCTGCCCCGGAGAGGTGGGGCCAACTTGTATTTAGAGCAACAGCCCCCAGCAGGTTCCCAGAAAGATTTTTCCTGAGCTGAGACTGTTCAAGAACTAGTCTGGCAAAGTTTAAAAGCATCCGGAGTAGGCCACGGGCTATGCTGCCTCTACTGTGTTGTTAGAGGGGTTGCTATCTTCATGGGTACTGGAAGTATTAAAATCTTGTCATTCATATTTATCGGGGGTTTCCAAGGAGAAGGAAATTTGGAGGACCTGGATCCCCAATAGACTGGTTCAGCCTTAGAAAAGGTGCCCATCCAGATTGTGTATGGGAAAGGAATAATCATTTTTATGGCGCTTTACAAAGATTTTCTTAATTTGATCCTCATAATAACCCTGTGAGGTAGGGGCTGCTTCTTACCCCATTTTACAGTTGAGGAAACTGAGGCAGAAGTCAAAGTGACTTGCCCACGGTCACCACGCAGCCAGTAAGGGTCACACTCAGGTCTTCCTGACTATAGGTCCGGGGCTCCATCCACTGGGCCAGCTAGCTTCACCACTCCGGTCCGGAGGAGGTGGGGGGCCAGTGTGGGAAGGGGAATCCATCACTGACTTTTTTTTTTTAATTCCTCACTCCCACAGGGAAAGGCAATTACTGGACTCTTGATCCAAATTGTGAGAAGATGTTTGACAATGGCAACTTTAGGCGGAAGAGGAAACGTCGCACGGAACCCAGCAGCAGCAGCTCCTCCGTGGCTGGGGGGATCCCTAAGCCCGAAGAAGGAGGGGGCCCCGTAATATTAGTGAAGCCTGAAGCTGGAGACAGCCCTCCGTCCCTCCTGGGCCCCTCCCCCTCCACTCCAGAATCTCCAGAGGAGCCCAAGAGCAGTGCCTCGCCTCCCAGCGGCCCTTTACTGTCCTCCACCCCCTGCCTCAAGTCCTTCTTCAGCGGCCTCAGCAGCGCCAGCGCTGCGGGGAGAAGCCACCAACCCAGACACCTGGGGCTACCTGGCGTTCCCGCGGAGCTCTCCACGCGGGGCCTCCAGGGGGCGCAGCGGAGCGCGGCCGCCGGCTTTCCCCCTAGCTCCCTGTCCGAGCCTCAGCCCGACGCCTTGCACTTAGGCAGCAGCAGCGGCGGCGGCGGCGGCGGCGGCGGCGGCAGCATCAGCAGCCCTCGGCCGTCCTCCTATTACAGCCCCTTCCCCACCAGTGGCGGCCAGGGCAGCCACTTCAACAATCCATTCTACAACAGCTTCAGCGTCAACAGCCTCATTTATCCCCGGGAAGGCTCCGAGGTGTAAGTCCCTCCTTTCCTAGAGGCAGGGGGCCAAGGTACAGGCAGGCTGGGTGCCTCGCGTTTGTTGGTTGATGGGAGAAAAGGCTTTTAAACTTTTGAAATGTGCAATTAAAGCCAGGTGCTATGCACAAACTGCTTCCTCTTTTCCTTCATCCCTAACAACCACTCAGCACAGGATAAGCAGAGGGCTTTGAAAATACACTGGATTAGTGATTGGAGATTTTCCTGGGGCAAAAACAAGACACAGTCTAGAGGAAAAACTCGCAACTTCCAAGACCCAAAGTGAATGTGTCCTGGGGGTGGGAAATAAGTAGTGGGAGTGGGAGGTCAGGAATCATGACATTTCGGGTGACTTGGACTACTGGTTAATTTGAATATCTGTTGAACATCTTGGACTCCCCCCCCAAAAATGAAGATGAGGGGACTTTGTGACATTGTACAGTTTTATTTCTTTAAACATTTCTTTGAAGATGTTGCCTGAAAATCAATACCAAAGATACTAGTGGTTCTCAGGCTTCCTTTTGTGCTTTTTACACGATGGATTTTTATGAACTTTTGTAGATACTGTTTCTATATGCAATTTTATATTTGTAAATTAATACAAGTTGTTCTAATTTATCATTTGAACAGGGATAAAATTTATTTTTTTCCTTAAATAAAATGAAAATCGCTTTCACCACCAAGAATCTCGTGAAAGGAATTCTTCCTTTCTTGTCGTTGGATTTGCTTAGTCCTGAGTTGGGTGCTTTAGTTTTCTTAGGCATTTTAACTTCAGCCTGCCTCCTTTCTCCCAGAACTTTAGACCTATGGAAGGGAGTTTTGCTTTCTGTCTTGCAGTCAAGATATTTCCTTTATTCACCCAGTCCTTACCCAGAAACTTAATCCAAGGTGACTGTACTATACTTATAAGGGCACACGCTGAGCACTTACTGCTAAGTAGTACTGTGGTTCTGCCATTTAGATTTAGGATGCTTCACTTTTAGCAACTTATTTATTTAAAGAAACTCAAGGAGCTGTAAGACAAAGTCAGTGTTGTGTGTCCCCTGTATGCTCTCATCTCTCAGGAACTGTATCTTCAGCCATTTAAAAAGGAGTGAGCTAAATTGGCCTGTTAAGGACAAACATATTGCTAGAAGAGGGAGAAAGTGTTTGTTGCCTGCTAAGTGGTTATAGCAACAAATTCTGGCAGTTTTGGAATAAGAATTGTATTACATTCTTATTTAAAGTGGAGTTAAGGAAAAAGGGAAATAGAGATGAATAGAGATAATTATATTGTTTAGACCACCCTCATTGAAAATAACTAATGCCTTCTCATACCCACTTCACTCAATTGTGTTCTCATAAAGCATTTATTAAGCTCCCACTATGTGCCAGGCACTATGCTAAGCTTTGGGGATACAAAGAAAGGCCAAAACAATCCCTGTCCTTAAGAAGCTTCACACTATAACGCTTCAACTATAGACTTCAATTTGTAGGTACTCACAGGGTGTTTTACTGAAGACATACGACAAATAGTTTTCAAAATTTCGTTGGTGGTTGTTCCAGCGTTAGTTAGATTTTCTTCTGGGCAACGGAGGTGCGTCCTCCAGGGTAAACCTTTTAACCTCTTCCTACCTCAGTTCCCTCGTTTGTAAAATGGAGTTGTCCTGGAAGTTCCTTTCCAGCTTTATCTCCGAGAAAGGAAGGGGGTGGGTGGGAAAAGAATACTTAAAATCCTCACAGTCTAAAAAAACCCGATAAAGCCATAGGCTAGAACCGTGTGTGTGTGTGTGTGTGTGTGTGTGTGTGTGTGTGTGTGTGTGTG